TGGGGAGAGGAAGATCAGTCCCTCTGCACATCATTCGATCGCTGTTCGTAAGTTGCATTGCGCCATCACCAGCTTTTTTTTTTCCAACTTTTTCCCCAAAAAAAAAAAAAAAGAAAAGCGCATCCAGCGCACCTGCCCCAGCCCAACCCGCATGCGGGTGTGCATGCCTGCACGCGCGTGCGCATGTGCGCTTCGCCCGGCACATAGCGCAGGGCAGCGCGCACCGGTGCTGTGCGCCGCAAGTATGGTTTTACTCTTTGTTTCAGAATAGCATGAAGCATCGTAGGAGAGAAGGTAACTGGACCCGGGTTCCAGCAAAAGCCAAACCTGGGTAATGGCCCCAGTCTTCCGGGTTGAGATGTGGAGGGATTCCCAGCCCTCTTTTGCTCCATATATAATAAACTTAAATAAAGCATGCTATTTCTTTAAAAAAAAAATCTTGACTTGCAATCAGACTCGTCTTCAACTTTACTTATAACATGCATGCATACAGGTGTCGATGGCAAAATAACTTTCACGCTGTAGAATCAGCATCAAGAGTGAGATGGCGCAGAGCGCCCACACAGAAAACTCAGAAATATGCCCTTCAGCCGTAACTCAGCTTAAGTCAACTTGTCACATCTTGCAGCTATGGCGTCTGAGCGCCAATCTGAATTTCCACCCGAACGCTGTATCTACCATCAGGCACACTCACGCTCACTCACACGCATGCACACACACACTAGGATCTACCCTGAACGTCTACGCACACACATGCACACTACTGTTGTCGTCAACAAAGCTAGCAGCTATGGCTGCCGTCGTCTTCCTCTCTCCTCTAGCGGCTATGGCCGGGCACCTGCAGACCTCCGATGCACAAGTCGGACAAGCAGCGCGTCCGCATGGCTCGCAGGCGAATGCATGAATGGCTTGGCGCTGCCTCTTTATTTATACAGTTTCGTCGGTGGTCTTGGCCTGCCCCCTGTCCCGGGCCCAAGGAGTGTGCAGCCCCACCTGGTACTTGCTGACTAGACAAGGTGGACTGGGACTGGGACTGGGACTGCGACTGGGACTGGACTATACTTTGCTGACTAGACAAGGTGGACTGCGACTGCGACTGGGGCTGTGATGGCATTCAATTTCCAGTAGTTGATATAAATTAGAATTTCACCATTTTTCTTTGGAAGCAAGACCACTAGAAAGACCACAGACCCTACGATGGTTCAGTCCATTCTAGCTGCTCGACCTCACAAACTCGTTTGAGTGCCATCTGTCAGTCCTTTAGGCAGCAACGGTACCCATCTCGATTGTGTGCTCCAGAAGGGATGTCAGGCCAATGGCATGATCATGAATATTGATGGATTCTGGATATGCTTGTAAAATGCCAACAATAAGTTTGAAAGCTGCTGTCGGTATGTAAGCGGGCATCCAGACCTCCACTTTCCTAAAAGTGGATAATCAGTAGGATTAGTCAGACATCCGGCTCATCTGGGGGACCTTTCAGATAAGGAATTGTCAGACCTCCAGGAGACTGTTGTCGTTATCATCTGACTATCCGACGTACTGATCCCTTTCGTGGAAGCGAAGACTGATGGCTTCTGGGTAGGCGTGTAAAACGCCGACAAGAAGTTCATGAGATTTTGTCGGTAGGTAAGCAGGCACTCGGACCCCCGCATTTCCTTGCAGAAAGTGGACCATCAGTGGGATTAATGGGACATCGAGCTTCTTGGGAAGCACTTCAAAGAAGAATTTGTCAGACCTTCACAAGAACGCTGTCACTATCATTGGGACTGATCCCTCCCAAGGCAACGATCTCTTGATCAGACAGTATAGATTAGGCCGAGAGTCCCACTAGGAGCTCCATGGGCTCGCATTCCCTTGTCAGTGTCCTAGGGTGGAAATGCAATTCCAGCCTGGACCAACCAGATGCCTTTTCGATAACTAACAAAGGTCAAAGAGGGGAGTGTGCCACATCACATAACCATTGTAAAACAAAGAACTATTCGCCGAGTGGCACAGTGAGCCCATACAAGGACATCGCGACCATTCCTGAAACATGAACCATTGGTTCTACGGCAATGAACGATTCAAATCTGGCCAGCCATGCGGGCTCCCATCACACCTTCATGACATGATTGGCTAGTTCATTCGGCGCCATCCTCATTCGAATCTGGCCAACCATGCAGGCCCCTAAGGTGCCATCAGGTCGTCATGATCTTGCCGGCATATATGTGGATGCCTCACAGGTCATTCCCGTTCAAACTCGTTTGGCAATCCGTCCCGATTCAGCGCTGCTTTGTCCTTAGGATGTTCCTTCAAGCTGAACATCTCGATTCTTCGTTCAAACAGGTCAGGAGATTGATGCGCATCCTCATCCGGATTGCAATCCGCATTGGGATTGTTTGAGGGGAGGGGTGGGTAACGGTCAGAACCATTTGTCCACTGTTGAAATGCAACGTGCTCTGATTGCCACCTGCCACAGAATTCCCAGCAGAACAATATAGGCTCGGACGTCTCAGATCATGGCATCCCAAGGGTAGTGAACTCCGCCATCCCGTATGGGCGCATTCGCAATTTGACCCTTGTACTGTATGTCGTCCTTAGTCACCGTCACATACATCCCGTGTGGAAGGAGGGCCTCCGTTTGGGCTTCCCTCCCAGCCGTTTTGGCAAGTGCCCATGAGAGTTCTTCTGGATTTTGGATCCTCAAAACTGCCGCAAGACTTCCTCGCAGTTTCCAATTGACATTGTTAGTACACAGAAGATGTCCCGCTGCCCCAAGGGTTCACATATGGCTGCAATCACTCCAATCCTCGTCGTTGCTTCTAGCTTGGTGGAGGTGCGGACTTCTTCTGTCGGAATCGCCTTGAAAAAAGTACGAGGCATCTAGACTTCTCCCAGGCATTTCAGTTTTGTTCTCAGCCAAAAAGGCAGAATGTCGTTGATTCTTTGGTCACCTTTCAATCATGCGATCATGGGCCAGCTTGAAGATTAACAAGAGGTGGGAAAGGGAACAGGGATGCAAAGGTCAAGAGCCCTTGCTGCATTCAGGACGTCGATCTGACCCCCACTGAATTCAGGGGTTAGGATCAACG